CTACAGCTTACCTATGTTTTTTACGGCTTTGCAGGTTATTTAAAGCCAGGAAAAATATTTGGAGTGAAAGAATTTTTTTTTTAAGGATAATTATTGTTTTTTTTTGTAATACAAGTCTTACGAATTAACGAATAGCTGGCGAGGGAGAAGTGGTGGATTCATGCCTTTTACAAGAGTAGTTGCGCGTTAAGTGAATATAACGAACACAACGGGAACTGGAACTCGGCTCTCAGATTAACAATACCGTACCATTATCTACTACACCACACGCACAGTCAAGAATATAGCACCAAATATTCCCCAACCGCTTATCCATCTAGGTAATGGTCAGGCTCAATGTTTCTCAATATATGTATATTACTTCAAGTGTTATTCTAATGGATACCCGTATTTGAAAACCACACAACTATATATTTATAAACATATATATATATATATATATATATATATATATATATATATAAGTTTCATATAAAAATAAGTCTCATATATACCCCTCAGAAAAATTTTCGTACAACGGTAAAACATTAGAAAAACTGAAACACACCTTCGCCACTAATCTCATACCGTTATATATGAGCTATTTCTGGAATGTATATGTAGGAAATATATCTGGCACATCTGTGTATATATATATATATATATATATATATATATATATATATATATATATATATATATATATATATATATGTGTATTGATTTGTTTTCTTCTACCGGCTAAAAATAAATAAATATACTTTAATGCATTAACAGAGCGTCTATTCAAATACCAGCGTATATATATATATATATATATATATATATATATATATATATATATATATGTATGTATGTATATGTATATATCAGTCGGTGACAGCAAAATTGTCCAGTTGTTAGATTAAGCTTTGAACCGATATATGTTAGAAAAAATTAAAGATAACTTACTGGAATTCTCCGAGGATTTTAGAAGCCTACAGGCTTCTAATTTGAGTAATTACAATGTATAATTACATTGCAAGCTTAAGAGAAGGATCGTGATTAAATTGATCATAAAAGAAAATGACATGTTCATCTTTAATTAATCATAGCTAAGGATCAGAAGCTCATGAAGGATTGAAATATAATTCAAGTATATATATATATATATATATTCCAGAATAATTTGCCAACTTATTCAAGCTGATATTTGCCCTCTCTAAAATTCTAACTTTCTACCCTGGAGTAACAAGTTGCCTCAGAGTTTTCATGATGGCTATACGTCTTATATGAAAATCGGAAAAATAGAAACTCAATTAGATTTTCTTAGATATTAAACATTTATGTGATGGACAATTATGTTCTATGACACAATGTGGACAATTTTTTTGTTGCAACCGATATATATATATATATATATATATATATATATATATATATCAATGGCGACTCTGGGTTCGGACTTAGCTTGAGTGAATCGGCATTCAAGTATATCTATTGCAAAGAAACACAAATCTTTCGTTATGCGCTGTTTTCATTCGTGACTTCAGTTTGATCCATTTTTTAAAAATCCGTGCCTGAAAATATTGACAAATATATTTCGTCGATATTTTTCATAAAAAAAAAAGACAGAAGAACAAAAAGGAAACAATGTAAGTAAAAAAAGAATGAAATAGAATTAATGTGCCTAGCCGGGCTTCGTAGATCTGAGTCATATGCTGGAGACATACTTAACAGGAAATGTATTTCTTGCTTTAGAAAATCTATAATGACTTGCATGCTCTGTTTTTCAAAGAACCAATTTTTACTGTTTGCAAAATGTCCATTTTAAATAATTTATTACGTACAGTATAAGGTTTGTTAGTGGAGTGTATCAATTGATAAAAGACAAATTACATTTAGCCCGACTTAAAGTCGGCGAGAATCAGACAAAATTCCTGTCTTAAAACGTCGATTGGAGGGTTACGTTGCTGAGTGTGACTGTAGTAGTGTTGATGAAAGATGATATCAGTCTACTGTTGCTATCTCTACCATCAGAATCTTGATAATAAGGCTACAAAACAATAAAAAATGCAAAGAGGACAATAAACATATAAACATATGAAAGACATTCCGCTGACTCTTTTTTCTTACATGTCTGGTATTTCTTTTAAATTCAATGTTTATTTTTAAAGAATTATTACATTTAATATTAAAATAAACTTTATTTTTAAAATTTTATGCAGACATTTTAAAAAATTATCCCATATTAGTTAAAGGAATCATTTTAACATCAAAGTTATATCAATAGTATATTGTGTTAAGTATTGTAATGAGCCCGACAAACATTGTTGCCCTAGAGTCGCCGCTATATATATATATATATATATATATATATATATATATATATATATGAAAATATTTTAAGGTACAAAATCTAATTACAGAAATAAAAGTGTGTAGCTTAATGTTGCAAGACATATTAAAAACGAAGGGACCGTATTCGCTCCCGCTCTTCGGGCCTCTACGCGAGATTTAACTTAAATTAAAACAACAGAAAATGTGTAAAGAGAAGAGAAAAAATATTGAACACATGGAGCTAGAGACAAATGACAGCGAGCCCCAACAAACAGCCACGCTGTTTACACAGGGAAGGCTTGCGGGACCCGATATAAAGTGTCCCCTGAGATGAAATAACATGTGCGGTCGGAACAGAGCAGTGAACCAATCAGCACTAAAATTAGCTGCGCAAACTCTGTTATTTAAGAGGTGCTCATATATGGCGGGACCATAGGTATTTGTGACCCGTCCATTCAAAGATTAGGTGTGTTTCCTGATATTGGTCGGAATATGCCGTTTAATTGTCATATCCAAGCGATGAGTAGTTCTCCCTATGTAGTTACCACCACAACTAGAAATATATCTCTAAACAATAGAATACATTTGATGGGGAGGGAGTACACCCTTTTATCCAGAACGAAACATAGGCCGGGTCTGGAAACTGTACGGACCTCAGGCGAGAAAAAAACAACGCCAAACATTAGCTGAAGTACATTTATTCTACAATCTACATTCAACATCATCACTTGATAAGACACCAGACGTGTTGAAACAAAATGTCTATTTTTGTATTGATTTTATAACATATTTATGTTATATTTTTAAATAAATAATTATATATATATATATATATATATATATATATATATATATATATATATATATATATATATATGCAAAAAAATAGACATATTAATCTGCAAACACATATTTATATTTTGCTTGAATATATATATATATATATATATATATATAAAAAGTGTGGTAAGTCAACTCCTCGCGACCTAGATTGTTTTTCGTTCTGGTAACCGATGCAAGATATATATATATATATATATATATATATATATATATATATATATATATATATATATATATATATGTCAAAAAACAACTTCAGCAAATTGTTTACCTCTCTAATAAGAAAATGTGTATCTGCTTTTTCGGCCTATCAACCACACATAACCACATTAATCGAGACTTCCTCTATTCATCAATAAGATACCACCTTCCAAGTTGCAAATACACTGAATGCGTCAATATAATCTAGGAATTATATCAATCTACAAATCTGTCTAACGAGGACCCCAGCAAGGAAATATTTCAAACCTTATAAGTAATGCGACAAGGAAGAAATGGGAAATCCAGTTTTATTTAATGTTTTCATAGACTATGATCTGAGCATTTTCACACACAGATGTGATGAGATGGGCACTGATCAAATTTTCTATACCACATGCAGAACAAATTTACCAGTACAAAAAAACGCTCCTGTTTTTCTTCTCGGGGCCAACGTACTAATGATGACTGATGCTATGCAGATGACATACGTATTCGTAGTTGGGATAAGAATATTCTTGAACAGAAAATCAACATCCTCTAATAAGGTATTCAGGAAATAGAATTAATAGTAAACAATTTCAGAATAGAAATTATGATCTATAATTGGAATGAAAGCAGCGATGGCACCTATCCTAAAAACATCGCAAAAAAAATCTGGATGTGGAATTAGTAAATACTGAACATTTCGAATAACTCTGTGTATGGATCAGTTATAAAAATTTAGTAATAAAACAATTATTTAGTTTCACCCAACATAAAGCCTGAAAACTCGAGCCACGGTCTTCCATATACTAGTCATATCGAGACTTTCATATAAAGGGTGCTGCAATAACTTGGACCGATTTTAAATGGGAATTAAGTTTAAGCGCCTAATATTTTTTTGTCTTTTTCTTTCAGATTTGGCGGATATTTCAGCGATATTATATTTCACACATAATTGGCATGACTTAAAGAACAAGATCCAATAAAGAAATAAATACATTTTCACCAATAACACTAATTTATTTAGTGCTGACTTTGATCCGTCTTAATGAAACACCCATATATATATATATATATATATATATATATATATATATATATATATATATATATATATATATATATATGGGTAAAATAGTAGGACAGACTGGGTTCTATAGCCTTGGATGGAAAGTGGTCTAGGAGAAGGACAACTCTGAATTCAGAACCTGCGGAGGGTCGTTTGGGAACCTTGTGGCATTCGGTGCACGAGGTCTCTGTATTCGTCTCTTCAAAAAGTGTGCATGGTCTTGCACGAGGCCTTCACCACTATAATCAAATCTCATGTGCCGGTTTTCCTGGAAACTGATCTGCTTTGACGGGAGAGTCGATTATTATATATATATATATATATATATATATATATATATATATATATATATCCATCTTAATGAAACACACTTTATATATAATGCATGGCGCCTAACCCGTTCCGAAATATCTAACCGTTTGCTCAGATCAATGAGTAAACATGGTGTTGGACGAATTACTCCTGAGGATCCTGGCGAGGACTTTCTTTAAAGATTTTGGCGTTACAGAATCACAACCAAATAACTGTAACAAATAACAGAATCCACATAACTTGAGGTCTATCAACAGCAGCAACAGCTACGACAAGTAAGCAGAAGAGAAAATAA